AAGCAGCACACGCTTCACCTACACAGGCATCCGTGCATCAGCCTGGAGTGAGCTGACTTAAGTCGGATTGATCCGTCTGTGCACCAAGTGTACTGGCCCAAGTGCAAGCATAAGATGGAGAGCTGTGGTTTGTTGTTTTTGCGAAAAGCTGTCACAGTGCTTTCGAGACTAAGCAAACATGTTGCTTTAGCGCCACTATTTTAATGTGACAAGTAGGCAGAGACTGTGGAGCAGATGTGGTGTGCCGTCCGTAAAGTCACAGCTGTGACTTTATCATAAATGTTTCCATAAAGCTTGCAGAGTGGCCAAGTGATGCCTGTTCATACTTGCTTTTAGGGCCCACAAGCTTGTCGGAAAAGTGCAAAGTTCTGATGAAGCAGAGAATCAGTTTTCATTTTACTTGCTTTTGTTTTATACACGCTAGAAACTGCTTCTGAACTGTACAGTAACCAAACAGTATTTACACATGCTTCATTTGATCCACGTGCATTACGTGGGCAGCTTTTCACATAACACGCAGTGCCAAAGAGAGGTCAATTTTTATCATTTTAAATGGGTTAATTGATGCACTGAAAGTTCAATAAAGTTTTACTTTTATTTTTTTAATAGCTGATCTAAAGATTTGATGACGTTAATCCCAATAAATTACAATGGTGAAAAATGACCTTTTAAGCCAACATGACCTTTAAGCATAAATAAATAAATAAAAACCCAACTATCTTTTATAAAATGACAAATGAGAAACTAAACAAATGCGCTTTAGCTTTCATTTATAAATGACAACCACTGATTTCCAGTTATTTTGTAATGTATCCAAATGTGCTTTCTAAAGCTTTTAATATGTGTTATTCTTTGTATTATTAGAATCATTAAAGTTGTTGCGTAACAGCAAGTTTTTAAACATAAGTAAAGGCCGACTTAAAGAAAACATTTAACCTGGATATCAAGTGGCTAGCTTAGCAATTAGCAATGTTATTAATGGAAAGAAAAGTAAAGTAAAGCTATTAATGGCGGGAAACCTAGAAAACACTATTGGTGGGAAATGTAAAACAGAGCTATTAATGGCAAGAAAAACTGAAATAAAGCTCTTAATGGTGGGAAGAGCATTAAAAAGGCTATTTAGGGCGGGAAAGTGGAATAAAGCTTTGAAGGAAAAGGTGGGAAAATGCTTTTAATGGCAGATAAAAGATACTCTATAAATACTCGTGAAGAATCCTACTATTACTGGCTCTAAAGGTCACTAATATTTTGCTGCTTTTATATGTAATTCACATGTACAAATACAAATGCAATATTTGTTTTGCAATTATGCTATTTGTGTTAAGCTAATTCAATGCAAACTAGTGCGATGATTTCTGCATAGCTAGCCTGTTACGGGAAATGACATAACAATTTAACATGCAATTCCAGATTTTATATATACATAAAAAAAAGTTCAAGCTACAAGTATAGTTTGAAGATTAGAGGGTTGTATAACGAGTTAGCAAGATGCTTTTTGTTTTTTTGTTTAGTCTGACTATATTTCCATGACAACTTATAACCTTGTCTGGGACAGGTTATGTTCAGAGCTTTAATTTAAAACTGGCTGGGAGCGTCATGTTTTTTTTTTTTACAGTCCATTAGTGTGACAGATTCTCTGCTGAAGGAATGTATTTTATTTATGTAACCTTTAAAGCTTATTGTCACTAAAGTCCAACTGTACTGTTACAGCTGCACAAATTGTACCTTCCCACTGGAATTTACAAGTATTCATATTCAAATGATGTGAAAAATGTATAATTTTTTACTTGTTCCTAATTTGCTACCAAAATTCCCTCTATTAGTGAGACTTTAGCAATTACACCACAGATTGAAATTCAAACTTATCTAATCAGTTTTACAAAGCCAAGAATACCTAATCAATCAATAAAATTAAATTTACTTTGAGCTGGTGATTACCATGTCGGCTTTATTAGGCAGAATCTGAGCCAAAGACACTGAGTAACCTTTAATGTTTAAGTGTTGCCAGTTTAAAATTTCTGAGCGCTAAATGAGCTAACGCAAAGATGCTTAGCTCATTTAGCTTGATGTTTAGCTCGATGCTTGTGACAAGCACCTCTAGAAGACATTGAGAAAAAACAAACCCCTTATTTGCATTTGGTTATAAGATGCATTTCAATGAATCAAACAAGTGGATAGCGGAGACACGTTGCTGTTAACACCTATTATGCATCTTCGAGGTGTTCAGCTAACCACTTCAGTTCATTTTCTTACTAGCTCCACAAGTCCCACTAGAGCAGGGGTGGACAATTCATTTTCCCAAGGGGCCACATAACAAACTGGGCCCTCCACAACAGTCCCAGTTTGTTATGTAGCCCCTTGGGAAAATGAATTGCCCATCCTTGCTCAAGAAGGTCAAAGCACTAGACAAGCGCCAGTCTGGATGAAATTGAAATGTTTTTCAATGAACAATATGCTTGTATGGGGTTTTCCGGCAATTGATATCAGCCAGGACAAGGTCAGTTGCTACCACCACATCCTGCATCAATGACGTCCTCGCTGGGCACAGACCAGGAAACATTAACTATTACACCACAAAAAGCACGTTGCCTAATGTGTCCCGGACCACCAAGGCAATGGGTCTGAGTGATCACATCTCTGTGGTTGTTTACGCGTGTATATAACGCTGTCCGCTTGTGACCCGATTGCCCAAGATGCATTTCAAACCAAGTGTAAACAGGCTCGAAATGAGCTATAATATCGATATTTAGGAATTTTAAGCACCTAGCTGTGTAAACTTGTGCTTGAAAACAACATTTTATGTGTCGTCTGATCCCCACGCTGCAGATCAGCCATAACTCAATCGCTCGCTGCACAAACTGCTCTGCTGCTGTCCTTGACCCACCTCGTGGGCACGCAGGGGCCTTATCTTTTTCTGGGACTCAAAACACCTGCAACTCCTCTTCAAAGGGCCAATTCCTGGTATTATCCATCCAATTTCCAGTTAAATGTTAAATATAGCAGCACTGCTGTAGCAACTTTTTCACTGTAAATATAGCCCTAATGTTCCACTGTAAATTATTACTTTAAAGTGCAATGGCTGCGTGTTTCGTTCAATATCGAGGTAATGGGTTCAGACCTGAATGTACAAAAGTGAGTCAAGTGATTTATATTGCTTTGTAATATACACCTGAGTTTGGCTTTGGTGGAAGATGTTGTGATCTCCTGCAAATCTGCGATCCATCGACCATATAAAGTCAGTGCGTGCGCACACTTCAGCAGAGCGATTCAGAGCTTTTAACAGCTTTAAAGACAGAGGACTTAAAGGAAAGACGATCCACTGGGAGTTCGTCAGATAAGAGCTCCATTTGGGCTTGGTAAATGCCCAAACCTCCCCACCTGCAGTCACCTTGCAGCCACCAGATGTTGAAGCGTCATTGGATGCTGTTGTTTACACACCAAATAAATAAATAAATGTCAATAATGGGTTATTTCTTCTCTTCAGCTACAATCATGATTCAAGCTAAAAATAATCAAAGAATCATCATAAAAACACACAAAGTGAGATTTTACATCACTTTTTTTTTTTATTTCTCATTTTTATGCCAATATTGCAAGTTTTTTTCTCATTTTTTTTCTTCTTTTAATGACATACAGATTTGAGCAATGATCTGGAGCTGCAATATGTACAAAAAACAAACTAACGTTATGTTATAAAAAACAAAAAAAAAAAGAACCGTCCCCTTTGTTTTTGACGTTATTGCTAAATGTTACAAACGGCACAGGTTTCTACCATCAGCAACCCTTTGAGCACTGAGTATACTACCACAATGACACCTCTGCTTACCATTTTTACTAGAATAATACACAGATACAGTGAGAGAAGTGGAAGATAGTGGAGGGGTGTGAGGAAGAAGAGGAGGAGGAAATGATAAATAAAAGGTGATCTGCAAGCTAAGCGCAACAGGCTGCGTGTTAAAAAGGTGGGAAAAGAAGAAAATAAAGGCGAGGAAAATGTGAGTGAGGATGAAACGTGTGAGAGAAATAGAAAAGTTAGCGCTCTGTAGTGCAAACAGCCGAATAAGTCTTGAGGAGAAGTAAGGCTGAGTGCGACAGAGAAAGGGCTCCACACTCTTTTTTTTTTTAACTTTTTTTTTTTAAACACACAAACAAAAGTCTGTTTAAAGCTGCCTCTCACTCTGCCCTGTTTTTGTTTAGCAGTGCATGAAAACTACATTATAAAAGACATTTGGCATATTAGAGGATACATACATTGTTCAGAGCTCATTATTTAAAAAAAACAAAAAAACAAAAAACAGCTGCTTTTGGAGGTGTAAAAAAAAAAAAAAAAAAAAAAAAAAAAAAAAAAAAGACCAGTCACATGCACACAATGTGAAAAAGATCTGCAAAACAGACAATGAGATGGTGGTTTGTTGCTTTTTTTCCTCGTGAAAAAGCTTTATCGAAAGTTAAAGAAGGCATGTAACATTTTTCTTTTTTTAAAAATCACCCCTCTAATCTGGTTACGTGTATCCTCCCTTTGTCCCTTAAAACTCCAGATGTTTTAAGAGAGAGAAAAAAAACAAAACAAAACTGTAAACCAGCTCGGATTGTCAAGGCGACACATTTTCAGAGAAAAGCGTGCATCACCCCCTTATTTGTGTGTGTTAGTTTACAACAAAAGTGGCGAAGCTGCTCTGTAGCCAAAGGGGAGGAAGGAGGAGGATGGGTGGTCAGCCTAAAGCGGCGGAGGCGATGCAGACGCTGAATTTAGAGCTCGAAGACAAAGAAGTTAAAAATCTACAGTTCAGATTTCGTGACCTCCATCCTGCAGAATAAAGGGCTTTGGGGCGGGGAGGGCTGGACCTGCAGCTCGACACGCTGCAGAAGAAGAAGCGCCAAATGTTGGGTTTTTGATGCTACGCGGCGGCAGCTGCAGCACCTTCTACAACTTCCTCCACGTTTCCAGGACAAACAGGAAGCGGCCAGACTCAGGCAGCACGGCCAATAATGCACTTTTCTAGGTTTTTTTTCCGTTTTTAATTCTTTTTTTGTGTGTGGACATAAGACAAGGGGAAACTTTGTACCAATAATTTAAAAAATATCAATATTACAATATAAAACATTTAACATTAACGACACACAGGTGGGCAAGAACGGCAAAATGGGGGAAGAAGGGGGAGGGGCATAATTTAAACTTTTCTCTTATTAATATTTTTATTTTTTTATTTTATTTTTTACATGGAAGCGTGTGGGGGGGGGGGGGGGGGGGGGGCAAATGAGTCTGTGTGTTCCTGTTTCGAGGGCGCGAATAAGAAAAACTGAAATACTTCATTAAGCACGCATTCAAGTCACAGTATTGTTCTTTGTATACAGTTGTACTGTAATACTGCGATCACAAGTATTGCCTTTGAATGTTTTATCCACATTTATCAGACGTTTAGATCCCGGTGGAAGACATTTAAAAAAAAAAAACACCAATAAAAGTTGTTTTTTCCTTTTTCTCGGAGAGGACGCGGAGCGAGTCTGACTCAATACACCGATTACAGCGACTGTATATGAAACACGCACGCACACATACACATATATATTTGCTGGCTGGTGAACTAGTGCTCAGGCGGACAAAACCCGAAACGAAAACAAAAACTGATGAGATGACCTGTACAATATTGCTGTTATGTTTTGGAAATGCACATTTTCAGTAATACACTTTTAGAAGGCCTTTATAACTCCTACAGGTCTCGCCATCGAACATGAATGAGTGCAACTACTCGGACAGTGAGTTCACAATGTACACACGCTTGCTCGGCCAACATATTAAACCACAGGACTTTTTTTCTTTAAAGAAAAATAACATTGAGAAAAACCAAAGAAGAAGAAGGCTGAAAAAGAGCTTACAGTGCTCGTGAGACGTTGTACCAAAAAGTGAGAAGGTGCCGGGCACCAGTGTGAGAGTTTAAAAAAAAAAAGTGGGTTATTGTACTTGTACACTGGGAATGAAGGCTCCCTTCAGAAGGCTGCTCTGCACGGGGAAGGTGGTTGGAGAGCCGCGGCGATGAGCTCCAAACAGCAGAGAAGCGAGGCGTCGGCTAGCTTTTGTGCTATGCACAGGTTCTCCCAAGGTGAGTAAACAGCATATAAGAAAACTGAAGTGTTTTTCCTTCTTCTATTTGAAGTTTTCAGTAAGGCCACATCAAATTGAAAGTGTCTTTTTTCCCCCCCTCTGTTGTTTTTTGTGTTTTTGGAGATAAATGCCACCAGAACTACAGCACGGACTGGAAGACACCTTTGCTAGGTGCAAGTTTCGAGACACTACATTATTGGATACGTTAGCAGTGACAGATAAAGGATATTATCAGATATGTGACTGGCTTACCTGTATACACAGTAAGAATATACAGTACTAAGGCTATCCTTTGAAGTCGAAGACTACGCTCGGTACATTAGTTTGAAAGCGGCAGACGGATTTGCTCTCGCAGAAGACCGCTTTCGTGTTCTGCAGATGTTGCTATGGCTCCGTGTGACATGTACTGATGTGTATACTTTCCAGGAGACACAGCGCACACAGAGTATTGCAGGCAAGGCAGAGGCGTTGCTTAAAGCTTTTCTTTTTTTTTTTTTTTTTCTTAAAGACTTCATTAAAAACCAATGATAAAAATAGGCCCTCTGAGGTTTGTCCCCTTTCAAAAGCAAAAAAACAGAACAAAACAAACAAAAAGATCTTTGCTTATGTAAAATCTTAAAAAAAAAATTAAAATAAAATAAAAACCCAACCCAAGACTTCAGACTTTTCCCCAAAAAGAAGAAGCAAGTATATCAAAATGAAACCCAAAAAAAGGCGTTTGAAGTAAGGTCACAATAACATACAGGTTGGGATTTTGGACCTCGAAGGGGAGAAAAAATAAAAAATAAAAATAAAAACAAAGCCCAAGCTCAGAGGAAGAATAGAAACTATTTGGTAACAAAAGTGTACTATATGTTTAATACAAAAAAAGGTATGGAGAAAAATGTACCTTTACTAAAGCTTATACAAGATCCTTGGTCCATAAAAACTATGTTATCGTCACGTTTTATGTGTGTCCCTCTGCATCCTTGCACTCCCTCCAACAACAACACATCCAAACCACCCCCGCCCCCACCCCTGGTAAGGGTTTCAGACGTGAATGTGAGAAACAAAAAGGAATAATTACAAAAAAATTTAAACGGAGCGGGGAGGATAAAGGGGAGGTGGGATGCACACGGTGGATGTACTGTTGTTGTGGTTTCCGTCCTCACAGCTGTAGAAAGGTGCTGGTGCTCTGAGCCTGCAGGAATTCACTCATTCCCAACACCAGAACTGGACAGGCAGGTCCCTAAAGTAACCACAGGAGAAGAGAGTGGGGGGGCTGGGGTGGGGAGGCGTGTCAAGGAGCACTTTATATACGTTTATTCCCATCAGCTGACAACGTTGTGATGTCACTCCTTCAGATTTCCCTCTGCGTAGGGCTCCTCTGTCCCACCGATTCTTTTGTTTTGTTTTCCTTTGCAGCTTCTTTGTATCCAAAATGAACGCAGCACTTTTAGAGTCAGTTTTGTTTATTTCCTATAGTCTTCATATACCTCAGGGTATATTTGCTCTCAAGGCATGTATGAGTGCCCCCCCCATGTGTGCGTTAGGAGACCACGGCTGCGGCGGTGGAGGAAGAAGACGTGACTCCTGCGTTGGAAGTGCTGTTGGAGCCGTAGACGCTGGAGCCGGCCTCCTGGCTGCTGTTGCTGAGCAGGCCCGAGTTGCTGGCCCGCAGGATGGCGCCGGCGGCGCTGCAGTGTGGCCTCGGTCCCGGCTCTGGCGTGTAGGTGAAGGTCAGTGTGGTGGAGTAGATGATGCCGTCGTTCCTCACCAAAGTGACGGGCACCTGGACGGGCTGTCGCACCCAGCGCCAGCCCTCGCGGAAGGCGGAGATGTCGGGCACCACACACAGCATGCTCTCGGCACACCTGCAGGGAGACACGATGATGGAGTCACACTGCAGGAAAGACTCTGTCTGGAGTTAGGGGGGAGCTTCTATTCGTTTTTACTTTGACTTTATAAGGATTAGACCAAATCAGTGAGTCACAAGGAGCTCACGCTTCAGTAAATCAGCTCTCTGTGGATTTTGGAAAATTGGGTTTTTACATATAAGAAACATAACACTGAAAATCAACTCGTAAAACCATTTTGGGATTCCTGGTTAATTCAGCAAACATGACCGAACCATAACAAACCCATTACTGCCATAAAGCAGTGCTGTTTACAGATTCTCCAGCTCACACATGGCATAATGTACAGTGAGTAATATATCAGCTGACAAATTCCCTGCTGCCCAACGTTATCGCCTATAAGTCTAAATATATACCCAAGCAGTGCGGGGACCTCGGTATATGTTTAGACCCATCCACAGAGTGCATGGGTTGGAGGCTCGGTAGACCTGCACTGACTTAGGTAGGTGGTCACTTTGATGTGTGGCAACGATAAACACATGTAGATTAGTCGCTCGGAGAAACTCAACATGACAGGATAAGTTAAGAAAGGGGGATTTTACAAGGTATGTGTGGTATATTGTCTAATAAATACATACAGCTAACACAAAATGGGCAAATTATATTAACTAATCTGAAGTTGCCACTAATAAGTATTAAGAGCAAGAGAGTAAACACTTTGTTCTTTAACTGAATACGTCATTTATGCTCATATTAAACATTGGTCATGTTTAATATGAGCCTTACTCTCAAAACATGAAGACAGTGTATTTACAAGAAATTCCTTGTTCCCACAGCTCTGAGTTAAATAAGCAGAGGAAAAGAGATGGATGGCTCTTTCTCTCTGATGATCAGACTGCTCTAAAACCTCAGCTGTTTTTTTCCTACTATAGGGGCTTTGTATGACATCAGTGAAATGGGATACTCCTAATGTGTCCATCTCAGGTACACAGCTAAAAGGTAAATGGTAAAAGGATTGGTTCATTTCTACTCCGAGCACTCAAATGGCTTTACACTTGCCTCATTCACCCTCACACACTTTCTATGTAAGTGCTTTCTTCTGAGAAGAACTTGGAGATAGTATCTCGCGGAAGGCTCCTTGAAGCATAGAGGAGCAGACGGGGATTGAACCACCAATGATTAGTACGCGACCTGCTCCACCACCTGAGCCACAACTCTGTCTATGAGCACAAAAGTCCCGCCCACCTGCTGTGGTTTACAGGGGGCAGCCAATCAAAAGACAACTGGCTTAAAGGGAAGGACAGTGGCTTGTTTTACAATGAGCGGCTGCACCAAGGTCAGGAAAAGAACAGGTGAGGATTATTTCAAACTTTGAATCATGCAAAGCAACTCTAGTGAAGTCCATAAATAAAGGTGGAAATTAGCAAACCAAAACTATCAGTAACTACAGTGCATATTACCTCTTCAGATTACTCATAATGGACAACAATCTTGGGATAAAAAAGAAAAAAGCTAGCCACGGTGGTTTCTTTTCCCCCCTTCACTTAACCTGGTAACCTAGAACATGTTCAAAAAGCAGCAGAAAGCTGAGACACAAAGCACATCCCAGTGAATCCCAACAAAGCCCCACCTGTACATGGTCTCAGCCTCAACGTCTCCGAACCAGACCCGCAGATTTGGAGTGAAGTTCTGTCCCGTCAGCTCCAGCATGGCGACATCCCCGCCGCCGTTTAGCTGCAGACAAACAAGATAAACAAACCTGGGATGTAGTGCAGGTGAAATGTCCTGTTAAAGGGGGGAATTTTAAAAAATCTAAACTGTCTCTTTTGTATACCTGTAAGCTCTCCACCACAGGCACCGGGGTGACAGGCGAGTGGACGGGGCCCATGCCCTCGTAGAAGGTGTATTCGGCCTTGTCTGTGCTGATGATTGTCCAGGAGGCTCCGTCGTTGATCATCTCCTTGTTTGGTTCCTTTGGGCATGGAGTGGCCTGGGGGGGGGAGACCCAAGACAACTTGACCAAAACATCTACCCACAGGAAAATAAGCCAGGCACAGAAGAAGAAATGAACTCAAATTCAATGTCAAGTCAGGCTGCCTGGAGCCTTTTTCAGAACGCTACAGCAATCATCCTCAGTCATCGGTGAATAGTATGATTGACTTAATCTGAGGGTGACACGACCGCGACCCTGAAATGATGCGTAGAGATATAAGAGTGACACTGACTTGAAACTGGATGATCCTTTCTTGGGAAAGGCACAGGTACATGCGCTCTGTGTCCTTCAGGTAGAAGGCACACTTGTGGAGCTGGGAGACGGGGTCATCGGCGTCCAGCAGCGCCGTCTGCTTGTCCACCTTCCGGATGATCTGAAAGGACATGAGAGGGGAACAGATTAGCCGACTGCACGATGGGAAAAAGGAATCGGGCAGGGTGAGCGTTGGAGAAAATTAAGTGCAAAAAACCAGAAAGAAACTGAATTAAGGAAAAAATGACAATGATCTGGAAGCAAGGGGGAATGAAATGCAGGACTGCATGAGCAGGGAGATTAAGGAGGAGGGGGACAGGACACACAAGCAGAAAAGACAGAAGAAAAGAAAACAATGTCACGAGAAGTTCAGTCAAAACATGAGTAATACGGTACAAACATCAGGCTGCTGCTTTCAGAAAAACTCAGTATTAAAAAGGCTTTCTGCTATTTCACGGTCAGCATTTGCCAAGTTTTACCATGGATACGTCACAAAGGTAGGTTTAAATTTTATTAACTTAAACGGAAAAGAGGGGTCACTGCGTTTGGTGCCGCTAACCTCTATGACCGCGGCCCTTTTAAGGAGTTATAAAACTCTCGGGAGTGATCTTTGACATCAATCTAACTTTTGATAAACAAATTAATGATGTTGTTGGAACGAGCTTCTTTCATCTCCAGTCACCTGCAAAGGGGAAGCTTTTCCTCTGGTTCAGAGACTTTGAGACTGAGCTATCCATGCCTCGATTTCATCTCGATTCGATCAAAGTAACGCTCTGTATTTGGACGTCAGTCTGTCACCGCTTTAGCCAACAGCAGCTGGTCCAAAACGCTGCAGCACGGTCATTAGTTGGCACGTGCTAGTGATACCACGTATTGGCTGTCAGTCAGTTTTAAGATTTCATTAGTAGCTTTTAAGGTCCCTCTGCTGAACAAATGCTCCTGTCTCGAGGTCCAGATTAAAACACAGAGGTGACCCTTAATTTGTCATATTTTAATAATAATTGAACATCTTTTGTAGTAGCCAGTTTATTCTAAGTGTGTTTGGAGCATAACGTGCCATCTTCAATATGCACGATGCGACGTGCCGCAGTGTTGCATGACTCATCACTGAAGAATGTGATTAATGGTTTCAAATACTGTTGTTTGGACAGTTTTTGATATGGTCTATTAAACAGCTCTCACATTTATTCGATATCAACGTGTTTCTCTTAGTCTTAGACTAGTTGGTTGGTCCAGTTCACGTTCATCTGACTCAATACCTTAAGTATGTTAACCGGGAAAGGCTGGATTTGTCCATCCTTGCATTACAGTTTCATATTGTGTCATTGTTGTGAAACAGTGATTGTTACCAGTCTGGGCAGGGCCATGCCGGTGACGGAGCAGACCAGCTTGACCGTCTGGCCGTAGTGGATATAACCGTCTCTCACAGTGAACTCCTCTCCTTCTGACTCCTCATCGTCCACTGCAAACACCAAGCACAGGAACAGGCAGTCAATGCTGCAACCAGCTGCCCACACGCACACGCACACACTTTGGTTTATACACTAAAGCCAACATTCAATCTATCAATCAGCCCGTCACGTTCTTTGTCTGCGATGAATCACGTGTGTAATTACTACAACAAAGAACAAAGCTACGACTACAATGAACAGTGAGAGGGTGACATGTAGACAAGGCTGTCAAACTGCATCGCTGTTCTCATCAATGATCAGAAGCTTGTGTAACAGATATGAAACCTGATGGAGACTCACACAGGTGGATGTAGAAAGCGCCCCACTGTTGGGAGCTGGCGTGAAAGTTGCCACCCTCCACGTGTAGATACCGCGTGCTGACTGTTTGGGAGCGCAGTCGGTTGAACAGTGCCACCTTGGTCCCCGATGCAATGCACACTGTGGGCGGAGACGAAAGCGTGGAGACACGGCCGGTTACGTAACGCACCAAAAACAAGTTGCTTTCAGGTCGGCGCGATAACAGAGAGATAAGACGTCTGCCAGCTGGCAGGACGTGTCCTGTGTGTAGCACAGGTGTGCCACATGTGACATAACTGGGTTACTGGACACTCCATTTTCACTACACTGCCCTCTGGTGGTTAGAAATAGTATTGATCGACTAACCGATTAGCTCAAAACACCTTGTTTTTAAAAAAAATTACATTAAATCATAAAATTCTGAGCATATTTTAAAAAGTAATGAACAAACTAAGGCTATAAAATATGCAAGAATAAAACAAGTAGAAAAATGAAGTTAAAGACAAATTCAAATATCATTTACATTTCAGAATATTCAGTGCAAGATGGAAACAATGCAAATTAGCAGTTTAATTTAGGCTTTGATCAAGGTTTTAAGCTTTTTCTCAATATCCTCACAATGGCTGTAAGAAAACCCCCACATGTGCCTTCTTATTGGCTCCCTAAAGAAGAAAAGAAATCAAACCTTATTCACTGTTAAATGTTTTGGTGCAGGAATTGGGGAGACACCCATTGGTGCTTAAATACTATGTCTTCTACGTGCCGCCTCCTCCTGTTTAACGTTCATCCAAGGTTTTAACCTCTGTTCTTGCCTTCACTTCTAGTCTTTTGTATCAAAGCAGTCTTTCTGCTTGGACTCTGGTTGGATTGTGGTTTCATTTACGCTCTTACTTCGTCTAAACACCCCCCTACACAGGCGTGTTAGTAAAGGCATCTTCACTCCAGCTGATCCATACTTTTACAGGGTAAGCGAATCTTAGAAGAGATACAACCAATCCAATGTTTTCCAGCTGCAGTGAGAATCAAAGTACTTTTCCCTGAGCTGCTAATGAAGCTCTGCTGACTCTGTGGTAAATCCAATCAAGTCTTCACAACAAAAGCATCCTGCCCTGAGTGTGAAGCAGCAACAGCGGGACGTTTTCAGTTTACATCGGCAGTAACTTACAACACCGACAGGCCTGAAAACGAACCATAAAATAAACCGCAAAAGTGCCGAGAGCCTCACAGAGAGAGCCACTTTACAAACAGACGTCAGGGTACGAGGCCGGCACGTCCGGGCCGTGGTCTGTACCGAATATCTTGAATGATTTTGCGGCTCGAGCCAACCAGAAGAGAGACCCGTGAAACGCTCTAGCTGGCTATGCAGTAAATCATGTTAAGCGCATGTTAATATGTTTAAGGCTGTTGTCAGGGTTTAAATTTACAGCTCTGGCAGACTGAGCTACACACTGATTTGACATGAAGAGTGAATCTAAAAGGTAAACACTCACAGCGAACCTCTAAACTTATCACAAATGACTCACAGTCAGCATTTTTGAGGGACTGCTTCTTTTTGGAGGGCTTGGAGATGACTTTGATCCTCTTGCTGAGGAAGACGCCGATGTCCGCGCTGTTGCCGTAGAACATCTTGACAGACAACATGAAGTGCTTTCTCTTGTCAGAGTCGGATATGTACAAGGTTTTGGCTGTGCAATAATTCTGAATGAGGAGGCAGAAAAAGAAAGACATAAACAATCAGATTCATTTCTGTTCATGCATATTAAACATATTAAGCACTACAGGAGAAAAACAAGCTCCAAATGTGCTGGAGGCATGTGACAGACTTCCTGTTTCTGTACTGCAGGGTGCCTGGAGGCTATACCGCACGGCTATGGCAGCTTCTGCTGAGTAACTCCATGTTCCTGTGCCAAGGTAAGTGACAGAGTGACAGTATGTGTGTGGGTGGGTGCGTGTTGTACCTTTCCCTCTAAGTTGAGCTGTTGCATTTCTTGGTCGCTGTTGCCGATGCCGATGAAGGCGCAAGGCTGCGACTCCTGGTCGGAGCAGCCGTCTCGCTCCATCTGGTCCTTCTTTTTCTTCCAGCCGCTGCCCATCAGGTACACACAGGGAGGAGGGCAGAAGAACCTGGAACACACGACACACGTGCAGCTATAAACGCCAGCATCTAAATCTTTAGAGGTGATGAAATAAATTTGTTTTTGTGGTGATTTTTTGAGACAGAGATTTGTTGAGAGTTGCCAAAAAACCTGAAGCACCAAAGCTCTTCTTTAAATGTTTCTGCCTTTTACTCTCGTCTCTGTGCAGATGATCCCACACTGCTTCAATAATGTTGAGGTTGAGCTCAGGGGAAGCAAATCCATGTCGGAAGGTGCTTCACTTTGCATTTTTCTACCCATGTATGCTTTTACTGCACTGGCAGTGTGTTTGGGATCACTGTCATGCTGAAAAATGAAGCTGCTGCCAATCAGATGCTTTCCAGATGATTTTACACGGTGGATCAAAATCTGACAGACACTTCCACTGAGTCCATGTCTGATGAGGCTTTAATGAAGAGCCACATGCATCTCTCAGGTCCTGTTTCTGGCAATGCCGGATCCCCCCCCCCCCCCCCCATTTCTGAGTCTCATGACTTTCAGATACTGTTCATCTGCTGCAGGTGGTTTTTAGATCTGTTGCTTCTTTTGTCCTGAACTTGTCCAGTTTCCTCAATTTTAACTCTGGCTCGTTCCTTGATTTAGGGGCGTTTTTAGGCTGGAAGGAGTCATAGCTCAATGTTAAGTGGCTTAACAAGCAGATGATAGGTGTAAATATGGGGAAATAAAAGAGAGAAGAGGAGGAATAAGAGAAGGAACAGAAAAGACCTGAATGTGCACTTCCTAATTTGAACCAGAAGAGGGCACTCTTGCACCAAGCTCCAGCTGGAGTCCAACTTGGGTCAACAAGCTGTTGTGTACAGCTACAGTAAAACATCTAAAGGCTGTCACACTTCATTCTGCAGATGTTACCGTGATCGGTCCAGAACCTAAATGATCTGTCAAGAAACGAGAAGCAGCATTTTGAATGAAATCTAACTTTCCTTCCCCCATTTTTAAAAAGGTCCCTCATTTTACTTCTCTTCTCCTTTCAAACGCACGTTACTACTGTGAAAACAAGAACTGCCTTGAAATAACTCGCAAGTTCAGCTTTGTTAAAAGAGAAATCCACTCATTACAGAACGAGCACACACTTCAAATAAATTCATGTGCGTCAGTGTGGAACTGGAAAGCGACCTATTTCGCAACACCAGTGTCTGTCTCTGTGGGTGTTTGTCTACTTTCACCTCCTATAAAAAAGCTCAGACAGCGAGAGAGGCAGCTTAGAAAGAGGGAGACGGCACATTAACATTCTCAGTGCGTCCACTTTTGGGGGTTTTTTCCTGGGGCGCTCTCTTGTTAAGGCACAAAAAAGGAGGAATTAAGCGGTCTGACGCAAAACATGAACGCAGCCTTTTGCAGGCCAGGAGGATGTTTAAACAAATACCTGCAGCTACATCCGAACACGGCCTTTGGGAGTTGCTTATCACCTGAAAAAGTTCAACCTCAATGCACAAAAGAGCAGCATTAAATATGTGTGACAGATGTGTTTGAATGTTTCTCTTCGCTGTCACTTTAACTGGATGAGATGGCTTAAAAAGTCCTCAGAAGAATTCGTCTCAACCTCTTTTCCTATCTCTCTCCCTCGCTTCTGTTGCGCTCCAACTCTCAGAGGTGTCTGGGAGTTGGCGCGCAACAGCCGATTTACCAAGAGATAGGCCCCGATGAGATCGCAAGCAGCGCTGCACCTTGGCCAAGAAACCGAGTGGTGGTGGTGGTGGGGAGGATAGGGGGGCTCAGGAGAGTTGCAAAATGAGCATGAGGTGTGGAGGAGCGCTATAAAAAAAGCGGTGAGTGCATAGTTACAGGAAGGGCCCGAGGAAGATGAGCTAAGAGGAACAGATCCAAAAAAGGAAAAAAAAAAAAGCATGTGTTACGATGGCGAGCTATCACCCTGCGTTTAACCAGCAGCATCAGGTACGGCATGAAAATGACAACATTAGGTTGTCACACGTGCGCTCGCCCGTGAAAGCTCACACCGAAAGGCTTCACGGTGCTGCGAGACGCCGCCTCCTCCTCTTTTATTCTCGTAGCTCTCAGTCGCAGCTCCTTCTTCTTCCGGCTCTCTGTGGTTTTTAACGTGGCCTCGTGGAAAAGGTCGCCTCTCGCTTCCTTTTTTGACCTCCACAGATATCAGAGGTCAGAGGGGTCAACACAGCCTCTCAGCACAGAGGCACCGTGCTGAGGAATGTGCTTTCGCCAGACCCCTCTTGACTAATGTACACTACCTGTGTTTGCCACAATAGTTGAATATAGATTAGAGGATAGTATAAATGCCTCTGGGCCACAGGTGTCTGCAACCAGTGGGGACGGCTAAAGGGTCAAACAAACAAAAATATCCAAATTTCCTTTAAAAAAAAAACAAAAAAAACAAACTAAAATTTAAAAACTTTTTTTTTTGTTGCTTTTTTTAACTAGATGTTAAACTGTGTCCGTTCTTTGAATTATTGTGATGCAAACAGATAAATAAGTGCTTGTAGCACGTTTATAAATAATCAAACTTCTGAGGAAAAATAAACTGCGTTTACAAGAACTGTCGGCTGATCGCAATCTAAGCAGCATTATCGCCACGGGCTGAAGACGAGAAGCCGCCAGCATCACTAAGGAAGTAAATTTAGCCAGCTGGCTACCAGAGATGGGCAGTAACGTATTAAAAGTAACTGTAATCTGATTACTTTTTCCAAGTATCACGTAAAGGATTACTTTGAAAAAAAAAGGTAATAAGATTGCTGTTACTTTCCCGTAAGCAAACTGCATTACTAAACAATGACTTTGTTTGTGAGAGTGTCTCACGACAATGACATACAAGTGTGCGACATCGAAGTGTGCAGATCAACAATGCATAACATGGAGTGCGGGAGAGAGTACGACCATGCAGCAGGCTGAAAGGTCTATTGCTTTATAACATATTCAGGTTGTGTGTCATGTTTTTTTTTTAAGTAACTTAATCCACTAATTACTATTTTTAAGTAACTTGGCCAACACTGCTGACCACCCAGATCTCACCCACAGGCGTGTGTGGCTGTGCCCAGCGTATTTTTCTCACATCTTTTTGAGATGCGTCTGCAGACAGTGAAGCTGGAAATTTGAAAAGTCTGTTTGTGTGGTGAGTCGCACAATCTCAGAGTGTTGTTTATGATTTTAAGTTTGTAAGAAGGGGTTAAACATTCAGCAGACTGATGAGCTTTTAAAAAGGGCTGATCAGAGCGATTTACAGTCGTCATTTTCTTCTTTGAAACCAAACAAAACCACCGAGCTGACAACTTAAAAACAGAAACCAATGAGAGACTGGATGATCGCAAATACACTCCATGGTGAAATCCATACAATGGCAGTGATGACAATAATGAGCATTTCTGGTCACGTGAAGGGCTATCCAGCGATCATCAGTTATTTAGTGAGACGTTCTCAAGGAGGCAGACCACTAAAATATTCAAATAAAACAAAAATCCTCCCCCACAAAGTCCTACGCGTCTAAACAACTGCAGACTCCAGGATAAAATGTAGCAGGGGCCGCTAAAGAATCAATTGTGTGATGTGAGGGTGAAACACTGACCGGCATTAATAGATTTGCTTTAGATTCAAGACCAAAATCTTTTAAGGATTCCCAAAACCTGAAAAAAAACATTAGACAAGAAGCTCCCATTTCATACTGAACTCACCTTTTCTCATTGCCATAGGATTTCTGTGCAACTTTTGCGTGTAGGATCATGACAGTTTGGTCTCCTCGCTCCTTCAGGTAATTCCTCATCGCTTCTCTGCAGGAAGAGAAAAAAGAAGAGAGATAAATTAAACCAGCTATGTTCTAATCTGAAAGAGGAAGTGACGTGAGTGCAACTTCACAGAAGACTTAAGAGGAGACCACCCTCCTTGTGCATACATGCACTTGCAGCGACCTCTGAAAAGCCAGAGCCTCCACAATATGCTTGCAGAGAAGCTGAGCTCTCCCTGGGTCCATCCGAGGTTTAAGGGGGGAGCAAGAAAACACCAGAGCCAAAAAAACAAAAACAGAGCTGAGCTCATCACCAAAGATTCCTCATGTCGTGTCAAAAATGTTGCAAGGGTCGAGCTCCAATTACTTCTGTCAACTCTGCCAAAACTTCTCACCTCCCGCTACACCCTCACCCCCCCCCCCCCCCTTCACAGGCGCGAGCCGAAAGCTTGCTCGACTGAGAGGCGCGGAGGTGAAAGATCGGGCTTAGACGCACAATTAAAGCACGTCATGCGCATGGAGAGCAACACACTTTGACCCGATCTCGCTACACACGCACAGATGTCAGTGACACCTGACACGCCAGGGGATCCTCACAGGGCTTCCCACTCAAACACGCACACACACGGCTTTTCACTCTAGCACGTTATACTAGGCCGCACACTCGGCTTAGACATGCCCTTTGTTATGATAAGCAAGGGCCCTCCTCAGTGTGTGTGCGGGACACAGGGGCAATCGGGGGAGTGGGCGATACAGAAGAAGAGGAGAAAGCATGATGAGGCAATTATTTTTCTGATTATTTCAGTCTCACTGCAACACTAAAAATCTGTTTTTTTCTAAATTACTGATCGCCAGCAGCTATAAATGAGACTAATAGAGGTACGATCCTGGAATTCCACACAGCCTGACATCACTTAAACACCACATGGAGAAAATGATATGGACGGGGGAGTGCGTACCGACTCCAGTTCGACTCGGTGGAAAACAGTGGTTTCGTTAAAACGTTGGACTTCTCCCCATGGATGCATTTAGAATGTGATTACGTTATTAAAGGACGTAACCCTTCTCTGGGAAGTGAATCGCTGGTGTCACACACACACACTCTAATCCCGCCGGGTGGAGTGGAGGGGGGACTCCTGTGCGCAAAGCTCTGATTGATTATGGAGAGAAAACACAGTCCAGGCCTGCTGATGTCAGACCCTGCAGGGCACATGTCACACCTCTGATACGGCCTGTGACCTACTGCTCCCACAGGCAGGATGACTGACTGACAGACACAGACACACACACACACACACACACACACACACATACAGGATTAGGGCAGTTACCACTTAGAGCAGGGGTCCCCAATCCCAGTCCACGAGGGCAGGTGTCCTGCAGGTTTTAGATGTGTCCTTGATCCATCACAGCTGATTTACATGGATAAATTACCTTCTCAACATGTCTTGAAGTTCTCCAGAGGCCTGGTAATGAACTAATCATGTGATTCAGGTGTGTTGACCCAGGGTGAGATCTACAACCTGCAGGGACACCGGACCCCTGACTTAGAGGAAGCTTCTAAAAGATGGTTTGCATCTTATGCATGTCCTAAAGACCCTAAATAAAAACATTTAGATCAAGCCAAAAAAAAGATAAAGATATACAATTTGGAGCGACAAGTAAAATACATGAACAGTTTCAGTTTGGCAATCATGTGGCCCCCTAACAGCGGGATCTTAGCTTGTCTGCCTAGAGACTGCTCTGCAACAGTCTGCCAAACACCAGTGATGGAAGAAGAGTGTATTCACAGACCAGATGGTGAAAATCTCCGTGCGATTGTGTTGACTGATAGCAGACTGCCACAGTTGGCCGTAGTTTCCAACTACTCAGAGCTGTAGCCTTACTGCTGTAGTCAGTACATTTCAAAAGACACAACTTTTACTCTGAGGATGGACTTTACATTTCTGCAGGTTTTTAGTTTATACTACCGCTCAGTGACTTCATATGCTTACATGTAAACTACAGGCTGCTGTGGCGATCTGCGAGGGACCAACGCAGTCACAACAAGATTTTTGGTGCATTCGCCCCGTTTGTCATTTCACCCAGTGACAGCCAGCAGCCTCCAGGAGCCACTCCCCCACCAATCAGTGACCAGAGGACGCATCGTGTCCAATATGGCAGACACCTCGAGCAAAGTACACATGAGAAACTTCTATAACACAGGAACACAGCCTCTCTAATGGCATCTGACATTAAACTAAACCTATCAGTTTTGCATAACCTTTAAAACATCCAACAGTGTTAGCTTCAAGCACCTAAATAAATCAGAGAACATCTTTAAATGATGCTTTACCCCCATTTTCAGCTGTGTTTTTTTTAAAATCTTGGACTCACTAATGGAGAAGCTTTATATAAGTCACACTTAAAATAATCTATGTTTATCTTTAATAATGGTCTGGGTGCACACCCAGGCAGTTTTATCTGCCATCCCCCTCCTGCTAAACCAGCTTTCTTCTGATTGGCTGCACCTTGCAAACAGAAAACAATAGGTATAGGACCATGTAAGTGACATCATCTCTCACTGATCTCATACGGAGTCATGAGTGGAGAAAACAAAACACAAATCCTTGTCTTTGGGCTTACAAAGATCATCTATGCATGTGCTGACCTCCTTATAAGAGCAGCACGACTATAACGGTCCACTCAGACCATGCATTCGGTGCCATACTTAATGAGATCTTTGGGCTCCGTCACTCATTTTGAAGCTCATGTTGTCAACACTTTGGAATCAGTTCTTGTGCTCCTGACAAAAGGAAATAAAACACCAAATTAAAAAAAAGAAACGTGATATCAGCCAGCCTCAGATTCAGGGTCACGCTCATAAAAAAGGGAAGCAGTTTGATCAAATATTTAAATACAATGGCACGTAGTTACTGCACGACCACAAAATGTAATGCTAGTGTTTGTTAAGTGTCGTGCGACAGCCTCGGCTTGTGGTTGACACCGTTTCAGCGCTCACCAAACCCTTCCAGACCACTGTGGCTGAGTTGGGGAGAGACCATTCCCCATCAAGACACAAATGCTTTGGCACGATCGCGCTTTGACTCACAGCGGCTCTTTATGCATGCCGATTTTCACTTCAGAGCGCCTCCAAACAACCACTGAATAGATAACAAAGATGCACCACATGTGGCAGCAATCATGTGAAACTGAATATCCTATGATCAGATGGAAAAAAGAAAAAAGCAACAACACAAAAGTCCCCAACACTGGGTCCATCGATCCAAACTTGTGCTGTGTAGCCAAGCTTTGTTCAAACCCGCAGAATTTTATATGAAAATCTAGCGGGGAACAAGAGCTTTATAAAGATACCAAATATGTCGAAGGATTTCGGGGGAGACGAGTATAAAATGATGCAAAAGACATAAAAAAAGATGACAGATGACTATCACGAGGCAGTGAACCAGAAACATCAGGACTTTACGCGGGAGCTGTGTATCAGAGGGGGAAAACCCTAAAAATGGATTAAAGCAGTATTTGTGCATTTGTTCTCTATATTGCACTGTTACGCTGTGCATTATTATTCAGTCTTCAGTAATGTGTCAACAGGGTTTTTCCTGTCACCCCACCCAAAACGTTTGGGCTTCCCCCCCTGAAGGAATACGGGTGTAATAAAAAAAAAAATTTTTTTCTTCTTACTGAAGCATAAAACAGACAATTCAGTATGATATTTACTGCCTAACATACATTTTGTTCCAAACAGAGGTGCCAGAAATATTTTTTTTTTCTTTTATACACAAACAGTTATGCCCATGTGTGTATTAATAATAAAGACAATGGAAACGGGACATGCTTCCAAAATCTTTTTCGTGCTAGAAAATGCAGGTGGCAGCAGGAGAGTAACGAGATTCCCGTCTCTTAAATGACTCTTATTCGTACGTCTCGCATCGATATCGACAAAGACGCGGCTTTGATCTAACACATTCACCCTAACACGACAGGGCCGTCTTGAGTAATCATCTGTAGCTTATACAGAGTGAAACACGAGTGCACGCACGCCACACAGACTGAGCGCTGGAGACGGAAGGAGAAGTGAGAGAGACTGTGACCAGAATCAGCTCTACTTCCTGTGCAAGACTAGCACGCAGCAGATGCACGAAATTCCAGTGCAAATCAAAATACGAGTAAGACCAAATTTCAAAACATTACACTGTGTTCATTTGTATTTGAGGGATTAAAAAACAAAACTGGGGGTAAAAATAAATAAATAAATAATAAATCAGCCCTTCATTCATGCAGAGACAGGAAACGAGGGTCACTTCATTTAAACCGAGTACGCCCACATGTAATAAAACCAATAACCACAGATAAGAGTCTACATCACACACTCACACAGAAAAGTAACAGCATCTGAGCTGCAGGTTTAATTTCTGACGAGCTTTATTTAGGTCCAAAAAATGTGCTAAAAGGCAGTCTGTGACAGCGAGTGAAAAGAAGGAGGGAGGTCAGAAATAAAACGTGAGGGGAGGAGATCGGGCAAAAGAAAAATCGGAACATACGAAACAAAAGACGAGACGCTTGAGAGGTGAGACAAAAATGTGCCAGACAGATTTATAAAAAGAGGCATATCTTTAACAGCAGGCGATGTGTGTGTGTGTGTGTGTGTGTGTGTGTGTGTGTGTGTGTGTGTGTGTGTGTGTGTGTGTGTGTGTGTGTGTGTGTGTGAGAGAGAGAGAGAGAGAGAAAGGAGGGGTGAGGTTAAGTCAGGCTACAGATGCAGCAGAGCAGACAGGCATCTGCCCCGTACATCTGCCACAGCGTCTTCAGCCGAGCAGCACTGTCATAGGACCCCCTGTGAACACACTCAAACACACGCACACGAAGAGCAGAGGGGCGGGGCCCCATTAATACACACATGCGCGGTGAAACAGCTCAATTAAGATGATCAGACAGTAATTAGTTTGCACCTTGTGCATCACAAAAGGTAGATTACACACAATTGTAGTGTGGGGCTTTGGGTTAAAGCATTAACAATCAGCCACTTTAGCCTCCTTTTTCAAGGCTAGGAGACGTGGCCTTCACACACACACACACCCCTCACTGTTTGATGTCTGACCTCCGGATGAGCCGTGTAAGCTCACACGCACGCACGCACGCACGCACGCACACACACACACACACACGCACGCACACACACACACACACACACGGAAAATTGCTGACAACTGTGGGATATTGCTACAGCTTGCACTCATCTCCGCTCTGATCATTTGCTACACGGTAAACAGAGTAAATCCTCCGCTTTGACATTTCTGCATCAACGACAAAACGTGAGAAAATTAAAATACGCAAACAGAATCCGAATTAAAACAGCACTGGTGTCGTTGCTTAAGTAGCGTCACCGATCACTCAGGAGAATATTGCAGTGGTAAATGGTAAATGGCCTGTATTTATATAGCGCTTTTACTAGTCCCTAAGGACCCCAAAGCGCTTTACACATTCAGTCATCCACACATTCACACACTGGTGATGGCAAGCTACATTGTAGCCACAGCCACCCTGGGGCGCACTGACAGAGGCGAGGCTGCCGGACACTGGCGCCACCGGGCCCTCTGACCACCACCAGTAGGCAACGGGTGAAGTGTCTTGCCCAAGGACACAACGACCGAGACTGTCCAAGCCGGGGCTCGAACCGGCAACCTTCCGATTACAAGGCGAACTCCCAACTCTTGAGCCACGATCGCCCATATATGATATGCCAGGTGTAATCTGATCCTAAAACATACAATCAAACAGCCAGATCAACCCACTGTGACCAGAGAAGTGAAATAAATAAATACCTGCTTTTTCTTCTAGTTGTAGCTGTGATTAACAGTTTGAAATGGCTCATTTATGCTATTGACAATACAGTTCCTGCAGATATGCTGGTATCAGCATTTATAACTGATGAATGGCAAAAATGTTAGGGAAACTGCTTTTGTTTTTGTGTGTCTGAAAGAAAATAAACATATTGGCCTATATCTTGAATTGTTAAAATCACCAAATATCAAAATCAGTATTGGTTTTAAAGTCCTTTAAGTCAAACTCTACGTGCCCATTAGACTGTAATCCCTTATGACTAATTTCCAAATTTTCATATTAGCAAATTTATACTTTTTAGACTGAATGTGTAAATTGATCCATTTTCTGTTGCTTTGCTTGTTATTTAAAAAAAACCAAACAAACAGTAAATTAGTTGCCAGTAAACTTGGCAACCCAGCCTGTATTCTCATGTTGAGTCCGTTTGTGTAAATTTGTGCAAGCGGATGTGTCTGAACCCTAGAAGTGTTTGTTCCAGTCGAGTAGCCTCCCTGACAGTGTGAACCTCTAGGACCTGGAGGTTCGGCTGCCATAAAAAGCTCCTGCGGGATGCTGCAAAATTTTAGAGCAGCACCCAAAGAAAACCTGCGGACGCGAAGACTCTACGGCAGATTGACAGGCCAACAAAGACCATAACCATAGTCACATGAACTAAACGAGCTCTGTTGTGCCTTTCGGCTGTTTGTTAAAGAGTGTTTTGTGTCGGTCATATTTCTGGCCATCAAAAACCATCAGACGAATCGAAGGGCCAGTGCGAGCCAGCGGACTGGCAGCACATGAATAAAGAGGGGGACACATCAAAAGGTGCAGGGGCCCCTTTTTCCAAACCCACGCTCGGCTGTTCCAAGCAACACGCAACCCCCTCATTTTCCCCGCTGAGTGCCACGCGCAAAAGCCGAGTGACACACACACACACACACACACACACACACACACACACACACACACAGACACACACACACACACACACACACACACACACACACAGTCTTTGTTATTCAGAACAGCAAACACCAATAAGCAAACAAGTGCGTGCGCGCACACACACAATCCCTAAAAAGCAACCCACATCATCCATCAACGGTCTGGATTCACCCAAATGTTACTCCAAGTAACTTGGAGCAAACTTAAGAAGAACTCAATAATCAAAAACTTGCAGTACGGCTCGTCAAAAAAGCTACACACAGTAAAACGAGTACAGCGCAGAGAGCGCACATTCGGACCGTGAGGCCTCAGAAAGGGTTATTTATTGCTTCTCTAGCATGTTTCTCCACAAACAACGGCAAAAATAGCACGGTTCATTTCAACACACGCACATTAAAACAGTCCCAAAGGAGGCGAGTCTGCAGAGATCTAAGTAATGAGCGATCAATAGCAGAACAAAAATGAGGTAATACAGCAAAGCTGGGGTCAACAGAAAGCAGCTGTGCAGGACTCCACAGTAAAGCTGCACATGTCGTACGCTATTGTATCAACAACAACATTGTAGCGGTTGTTATAGACGCATTTCTCCGCTTCTGGAAATCACAGCCTGAAATGAGCTCCTTGCTGCCTCAACAGATTTTATGTGGCAAACCTGCTGGTGAATATAAAATTATTAAAACGCTTGTAAAAATTAGGCGTGGAAATCGTAGTTAAAAACAAAAAAGTTCCTGTTAAAGAAAAAAGCGAGGTATTTATTATTCACATGGTGTCAGTTGGGGATGTGCCGGTGGACAATGTCGAGAATCGTTCATGTTAATAGTGACAGTTTGTCAACTAAGGAGGTTTTTTAACTAACATCCCCACCGATGCATCAAGTTGACACTGTCACATGATGAGTTTCATTTTAAACTGTTTCTGCAACGCCACAGTTACACATGTGCCCTCAATGTACAAAACAGACGGGTATGGGCGTGCACCAGCGCGTGTACAAAGTTCATGCTTGGACTTCTGCACGCTTTGAAGGTAATGTGCGTGTGTGTGTGTGGGTGTAGTGGCTACACGGACCAATCATAATCATGATCTAACAAGAGAAAACAGGCTAAAGAAAGAAAAGAAAAAAAAACTGGATAAATAAGCAGAACTAACAGTCTAAGTAAAAAAGAAAAGAGAAATAAATCACTTAATAACTTTAGAGCCTTGCAGCTGATATCCACCCACTAATGTAATCACCCAACACTAGGTTTGGGTGAAGTGATTTGAAGTAGCTTTAAGCTTATGTTTTTAAGAAAAAAGGGGAGGGGCGTGGAGTTAAACGACAGGGTGGGAAAAAAACTGTGTAGTTTTTGATGTTTTTTATTGCAAAGGTTTCTTTTTTATTGGTAATCCCAGAGTGGTATTAGTAAGCCACATATTAGGGTTACTTCAGAGGGTCTCTATACTTTCATTCTTTTGAGAATGTGTCCAAAATAGTAATAATCAAAACAAAATCAAATCTAGAAAACAAACAAACAAAAAAAGGTAGCAAATACCTTGGAGAGGGGCGGGTCTGTAGAATAGGTGTTCACAAGAACACAACGGCATACATAAACAAAGGAACACACAAAACCCAGCACTATGACAAGAAAACAAGCTCTAAAGGGACCACGAGTGCGTGTGCACACCCACCTTGTTAGGCGCTGTGGCTGAGGGCGCTCCCCGAACTTCCTGCAAAGACACAAAGTGAGAAGAAAACATGAGTGGGTTGGTTATCAACCACGAACACACGCACAGTAAACAGTGCATGGCAAAAAAACCCAAAAAAACAGCACATGTACAAACGCACATAAAAAGCAGCGTGGCCTTGGCAGCGTGTAATGGCAGCGTGTTCAAACAGAGTCTGTGCCAAACGTCGCGCCGCTTGTTTGCCGTGAAAACACGACTTAAAGCGAATGAATTTTGTTCAAACTAATTGCCGTCGTGTTGAGACACGTTGAACATCAATGGGAAAAAACCCCCACTGGGTTCAGATCAGCTAATCGGTATATTTAGTATTACTACTGAATTTCAGAAACTCAAGTTCAGCAGCTGAACAAACGACGGTTCTTCAATAGCCGACGCACTCAAACAGGTGTGAAGGGTTTGAGATTACAGAGATTTTAAATGGTGCTCAGAGAAGCCCTAACCATATTTATCTGTGTGACTATAAGCTATAATCTTAAAACAACACATTAATTTAGCCTTGCTATCAATAGGATCTTCACAACACACACCCCAAAGACAAAAAAAACAAAAACAAAAGAAAAAAAACCCAACACACACACACACACACACACAGATTTCTGGCTTTGTGTTTGCAAATCTAAATTGTAAAACCTGAACAAGAACATTGACTTGATGAATTTTTTGGCAGTGCCTCCAATGCACTGGTGCTGAAGGCATATTGCAGCGATTTAAAAATTACAAACCACGGGGACAGAAATTCTCATTTTTAAATACTGGTACTGCAGCAATTTAATTACTTCATTGGTATTTCTGAATTAACAGCAAAAGCGTGAATTTCAACAAGAAAACTGATCTTTTCAATTTCTCCTGTGAATGCAAATTATTCTAAAGTATTCAGAGTGTGCAAAAATACAGATCGAAAAGCATTTTAGCTGAACCCACTGACATTCTGCCTGCAATTTTGTAAAGAAAGACCGCTCCGTGGCACGGCACTCCTCAGGTTAAAAAGGTCTCCGTTATACTGACGGTTCAATGATTCTTCAGGGAAACGATACAAATAAGCAGAGAAGGTAAACGTGCTTAGTTAATGTGAGTCAGCCGAGGACCATAATGAAACAAGAGCTGGACTGACTCGTTTGGTTGATTGATTGATGATTTCCCCTCCCTCCATGTATGGAGTCATTACTCTATTACACACCAACTCAAAACATCCGTAATAAGAAAAGAGAAACAGAACAAACATGGAGGAAGTGCTTAACCCTCTGATTTAAAAGCATGAAAGAATATCAAACCTCTACTACAACTGCTACATCTACCTTTGTCTGACAGTGAGCAAAACTCAGTTCAGTCCTTTGTTATTAAAATGTTTTTGTGCTCCACATTTACATTATCCTGTCCTGTTGCAGGTTCTATGTGGATAAACTCTGAAAGCAGAGCAGGGCCTGCTGTGGGTAGCAGCCGTGTAAGACGCTGTGGTTGCAGTTCAGTCAGCAGGTCCTCTGATAGAATAACAGGAGAAGCAAATAAATGGCGCTTTGAGGACCCAGCAGGGGCTGGTTGGTAGGCAGCAGCTAAACTCGCTAATTAAAACGCATACAGTTCATCATAAATAAACTAAGGGCACAGTCCAAGCTTTTAAGGTGTGTGTGCCTAAAACAATGTCCATTAACAGAAGACAGCATGGTGACCAGAGAAGGAAGAATTTGTGAATTGTATATTTATTCTCGAGCCGAGGTGATTTTGCAAACATTCGTCATGATACAAAAGCCTGAATTTAACTCAAACTGTTGGGTGAATCATGACTGGGATGGATAGATCGTTTATTCTACCCAAACGGAACAAAGTGACGTGAGTTTGTGCTGAGAGGGCTGCTCTGCACAGTTTAAACCCAAACGCAACAAAAGAAGAAGATTACAGGATCAGTCAGGTAACCATTTTTCGCCCTCGGCTTAAGGTTCATGACCCGACTTTCAAGTCCTCAAATTTCCGTGACTATGAAGACGTCACACGCTACCAATCACTAAAGTTTCTGCCCCAAATGTTGAAAGCTGACTTGAAGTCAAATTCAGTGTGCTGGAAAACTGATGAATCAATATACTGTCACTGAGTCATACTCAAACTCTTAGTAATAGATGTAGCAAGGAAACTACCGCAAACAACCACATGTACGACGATGGGGTGTAAAGTTACAACATATCTCAGCTGAGTGTGACGGTTTTATGGTCAACTTATTTCTTTTATGCTTGTAAAGCAACACGTCGAGCCTTTTACACGCAATACAGAGAAACTGTTTCACTATTCTCCTCAGGACTGAAAAAAAGAAACAAATCTGCAAGGAACAAAATCTCTTTAGGGTAATAAGTCACTGCTAACCAATGAAAACATGTAAAAAAGGGGAACAAATGATGTGGTTTTGTGACAGGCTGTATCTGAAGACACAATTTAAAAAGACTTCTTTGCCAAGTTGTAGACACAACACTGGTTTGTCTGTCGAGTTCGGTGCGCTTCTCTAATTAAACTCTGATTAAACAGGTCAGAGTTAAGTATGTTAACATTACACTACTGGTTGGAATTAGTCAGCTATAAGGACTGGACTGAAAAAGCAGCCAAGATCCAAAGAAAAGCTTTGACAGATGTAGAGAAAGCCTAGGGGTATCGCTCAAAAACATGCTTTAGAAAAAAGGAAGGAAAGGGAAAAGGAAAAAAAGGGGCCCAAGACTTTTGCACAGTACGGTAGAAACAGTCGGCATGGATACGTGTGCTTGATTGCACCTACACCTTACAACCTCAGTGGGAGCACAAAGAAAAGCCATTTGTCTGAGACTGACCATTACGACTCGGATCCTGTGTACTCGGGTTGGATGAAGCCTCTAAACGATCGTAATAAGGGTTTGGATGTGAAGCAGCGTGAAATCGTCAAAATTACAAGCGCTAAATCAAAAAATAGTGGGTGGCAAAAAAATAAAGTAAAAAAAATACAATTAAGTAAGAATCCAACATTCAGACCACCTTCTGTTTTACAAGAGCGGGTGTCGGTGGTCAGGAAATTACACTTTTTTTGTTTTCTTCCACACAAAAGGCTCCAATATTCTCTGAACAGTTTCTCAAATGAAAAACGCTGCACACTCTTTATAATGTGTGGCTTAATTACCAGCGAATCAAGTGATCTCAACGGAGGCCGGTTAGCTCGACAGTTATACTGTAATAGAGCGGTTTGGAAGCATCAGAGTTTTGTGCACAGCTCGGTGAAATAAGAGCTTGAAAACGGTGTCGGTTTTCTATTTATTGACTCAAGGCTGAAGTTTTATTTAAATTTAAACCCCAAGAATCAGAATCTGCAAAATAAATTTCACACAGACCAAGGACCCATCGTTAAAATATCCCATTTTGTCGGACATTAACCCAAAAAGAAAGAATCGGTTCACCGTCACACACGAGAATGAGTCTGAAAGGCAAATGGTTGGTCAAACCTTCAAACATACACATACCTGCTATCACAAAACTGGCTGGGTTTAAGGGCTTATGTCTGCAGATCTACATATTAAGTTATTAAAAGGTGGTTATATAAAAGTGCCCAGTGCCTCTACGAAGAAATTTATTTATTTATTTTAAAGTTGATTAGGATTTTCATTCTCGTGTAGGATGTGGTAGCTTTGCATGCTGCCTGTAAGTATGTCACTACATCGTAGATAGCATCAGTAAACACAGAGATACTGTGTCACTCAACTGGTTAGGGGTTTTAGCATGCAAACCTTGGGCGCAACTTTTAGAAAAGTAGTCTTGATGCCACAAAAAGATGGATAAAAATAGCACGAAAAAACAAAACAAAAAAAAGGCAAGGGGAAGAGGGGATGAAGGCCAGGAGAACGGGAGAGAAACTGAAAGCATGATCTGTGCCAGAGACAGACGGAGCGAGTGGAGGTGGAATAATTATAAAGGAGGGCAATCAATAAGGTTCCCACAGTGAAACACTGATGCCTCAACAAGCTAATGGATTCCAGACGGCTCTCTGTTCTCTCCCCCTGCTTCCAAACCTCACCCGAACCACTGAAAGCAGGGACCGAGCGAGGAAGGAACAATACGGGGAAAGTGTAGGGGAGATTACAGGAGAGGCGAGCAACACCGAGAGGATGGTGCATAGAGGAAACAGGGTGAGGAGATCAAATTTAAGGATTTAGAGGTGGATGGAAGAAGAAAATAAAGACTGCTTCCTTTCTTTTCTATGTCTGCACTTAGTTTTTTTGTGTGTGTGTATTGAATTCACTACTATCAAATGAAAGTAAAGCCTGCAAAATTGATTATAGACAGAATTTACAATACGCACTGATCTCTAATCTGGCACATTCTGATTCTTCATTGGGGTTATATGCAAACATTGCGGATGGCAAGACTGATTTTACTGCAAAGTAGAGCACAGAGATCAAGGCGGTCAATTGTTAAAGAGTTAGCAAGTTCTGTGAAAAACCACAGTCCACATTTCCATTCACCTCCACAGACTCGAGACACAAAACACCAACAAGAAAAGACCTAGCACAGGAAACCACAAAAGGTAGAGCTGCAATGGCAAAAGAAAGGCATGCTGACTGTTGCAGCTGCAGTTTTCGGGTAGGCTTGCCTACAGTCAGATGTCTCGTTGCGTGCCAAAGTTCATCAAAGTTCAGTTCGCGCTTTGGTGACTCAAGGGTAGCACAAAAAGCAACCTGAACCCCATCAAAAGCGAATCCTCGGAGTGCACGGAGATGAGATTTTTAGCTACACTTGAGCCTTTCTTGAATAGTTTTCATTCACTTATTAATGTTGCATGCTTCACTGCGTTCATCACTCCTGTTCAGCTGATTTGCCTCACTTTGCGCCAGCATTTTAATGCACTTTGCATCTCCTTGGGGTGCTAGACAACAAGTTACTAAACATAAAAATATGTCTCATCTTTTCCTTTGGACTTCATGACCTAAGGAATGAGTAAGAATTGTGTCTGATTTCTTCCTCCTCCTCTAACACTTTCC